TTTTAGAACAATCTCAGACATTTAGACAGGGTTCTTTAATGTAGTCCTCTGTAGACAGTAAAGGCCTGTTTTCAAAATAAAAGAAAGGTAATCAAAACCAACTATGACACTGATTTTGTTGGCTTATTTCTATAAATAGTAACAAAAAAATCTGTGCTGCAAAAGACTGAAGGAAAAAATACTTTTTTTTTTCTTTTTTTTTTTTTCTTTTTTTTTTTTTTTTTTTTAATGTAGTTTGAGTGTTTCCTTGTGTGGCACAGCCTCTCTCCCTTTCCTGTGATGGAATATTACATGACAACGCTTTTGAACCAGAGAAGTTTGAGGGAAGCAGGATCTTCCACAAAACCCACGTTTACTTTAACAGGAAACCTTTCATGTTCAAGAAGTGGGGGATCAGGCTGTGTTTGGGAAGAGATGAAAGAACGGATTGCTCCCATTTTTAGAGGCAGTGTCAACCCCAAGAATAATTCTGGCAGCGCTGCTGCCCTGGTGACAGACAGATGCATTATCACTACTTTTCTCAAATACACAGCAAAGGCTCGCAGAATCAGAGCAGCCGGTTGTGGTGACAAATCCCCCAAGAACAAAGTGCATATTATTAGAAAACATTACGGGGAGTTCTGCAGCGTGCAGCAACGGATTTTATAGCCCTAATTATAACGGAGGTGGCAATATAATCTCTGTCTGTGCGCCTTGGTCTCTGAACCCGTCCTGATATCTCTTTAAAAAGGCTCCAATCTGGCCAGTGCTGTGATGGCAGGCGGTGATAAAGCTAATCTCCTAAACAAAGCCCGTATCCAAGATACCCTAAAGGTGTTACAGGGTAATTGGCAGGTTACATTTACCCTGTCTAGATGACAGTTAAAATCAGCAAGAGCTTGGCAAACAGTAAGGATTAGCTCTTACTCTCTCTCTGCTGCAGTACAGATGGGAGTTACTTGGTTCATCTTTTGTGTAACAAGTGTTAGACCTGATGCCACTCCTATTGAACATTAACCATTATTCTGTTTCTTATGCTAAAAACATCTTCATGTCACACTTTCAGATCTGTTATTCTTGTTCCTTCACTGATGGCTCTTTATATAAGGGCACTGTGGCTGCCTGTATTTCTAATGGATATAATTTCTTTCTGTTTAATATACTACAGGACTTCAAAGGGTTAATTTGAGCATGTGAGGCAAGACAGAAAATAATGCAGGAAAAATAAGCTACTCACCAAAGTAAGATGGAGGAAAACACTGGGGACATTAGCAGCCATGGAATAGCTCTTTCCCAGTTGAAAATGTTGGGGGTTTGCCTTAGATAAATAGCAGCTGATCTGTCTCTCCACTCTACCTCTTCTACTCCGGAAGGTCAATAGGGATCCTTAGCCTAAGGGAGGGATGTTGCAGATCCCCACGGCAGTCCCCATGGTCCCTTGTCTGGTAATTCTGTTAGGCAGAAATTCCTGATTAAAAGTGCTTAAAAAGTGATGATCATTTAGATGTAAGAACAAAAAAATGGGTGCACAGGAGTTCTTGACCCTGAGTGACTAGTAAACAAATAAAATAAATATTTGAGTAGAAAAATGCAGCTAAGTAAAATTCAGCAGAATTTGTCCTGAAGAGTGGAAACAGTTTGGAAAATGAAAAGTAGTCTTCATGTCCTATGTTCACGCTATGGATGGCAAAAAAAGGAAGATAGAATTATTAAGGGTTAATATCTGGCAGCTCTTGAGCCCACTTTGGTCTAAAATTCCAAGACATAAAGTACATCATGAATTCAGATGACTGAAGGAAGAATTTTACCTTGCAGTTAAATATCAAAAAAACAAATATAAAAAAGTGTTTATGTATTAAGTATAAATATTAATGTTGATATAAAAGGTGAGAATATCAGCTTCAGCTGCAATGGCTTGTGCCATCCCAGTCCCATCTTGTCCATATTTCAGCAAAATGCCTTTACTGTTGGGAACACAATAAGGATTTGCAGATATGTAACAGAATAAGGGAAAGAGAACTGTCCGGATGCCTTTGGTCTTGGGTTTTCCCCCATAAAAATGATGTTTGCATACCTATAGTATTTACAAAGGACAGTCACAAGGCATGTTTTCCTGCTGTCAATGAGGCTATTGCTTCAAGAAAAGCATACTCTAGAAATGGCAAATATACACTCTTTCTGGACTTTAGAGGACAATGAAGGACGTCGGGTCAACTTCTTCACTGAGAAGGTCAGGTCAGGGACTGGCCACTGTAGAAGGAGAGTGCTGGGAGATGCTGCAACCACAACAACCCTGATGACAATACTGGCTATGCAGCACTGAAGAACTGCGAGCCCACAGCACAACAGCGAAGGAATTATTGGGTGAAACTCAGGCTAGAACAGTAAGTAGCACAGTTTGGCTTATACATATCATGAAATCCACACTAAGAAAACCTAGGTACAAGTCATTACTACATTTGATTTGTGAGGGACAGTCTGCACCTCGGAGCCATCCTCACAGCGCTGAACTGGAGCTGGGTGATGTGTTACCCTGTGCTAAGCAAAGCAAATGGGATAGAAGGAAAGTGTCAGATGAAGGAGACCTCCTGCAGCAGCCCCCAGCCAAGGTCCTTCCAGGAACACAGGAGAACAAGCAGGAGGAAGCAGCACATAAAGAGAAGCTCAGCAGAGTGTGGCAGCAAGAAAGTTGCAGGAACAGTCTTATTACTCTGAGGTGGGGAAATGGATTTTATTGAATAAAACTGACTGAAAATCTGAAAACAAAACCACATTGCACTTTAGGTAAGAACCAGACATAAAAGCCTTTTGTTGTTTCATCCCTTTTGGCTGAATAAACAATGCCTGGCTTTGAAGAAACTATTACTGTGTCATTTTAATCAGCTGCACAGGGCTCTCAACGGAAAAAGGCTTCCCAGTACCGAGTGTAGTTAGGCCCTTTAGATTTATCCTAATTGGAGGAATAAAAAGGGTGCATTACAGGATTATTCCCTCAAGAAAAATAAAAAAAACCAGGCAAGCCTGCCACTTGGGGGTGCAGGCATGCTGGGCTGCCACAGCAGCTATAGTGCAGCTTGCCTTGCAATTATGACAGCTGGATTCTTGGTTGTAAAACAGATATAAGCAGTAAAATTAGCACTGCTGTGGAGAAACGATGCATTAATATCAGGAGGTTTGTTAAGGCTTCCTAAATTTCCGCTATCTCTGTATTGACAGCAAAGCAACCCTCGGGGAGAAATAAAAGTATTTTCCTTCCAGACAGCAGTTCTTCAGGGAGATCTCTGACATGGACACTAACATGTAAAATCCAAGTTGCTGTGGAGGTAGTGATGCAATCGTAGGTGTGTCTGTGCAGCTAAACCAAGGCATGACTGCAGCCCACGTGAGTGCTGCCAGGTGAATTGTGTACATTATAGTGAAGACAGTGGAAGTTTTGGTGGATGTTACAAGCTACTGAGTGTCCACAGAGAAACGCTGGTTTGCAGCCTGTGAAAACGTATCTTCTCCACCGGCGTGGGCTGAATTAATGTAAGGGAGATTTTTTTTTTCCCTTTATCTGTCCTAACTGGATGGATAATTCTGCAGTGCCCCACCACTGCTGGCTGAGGGCCACTGGAGAGGCCTGTGCCCTCATGAAGGGTGCAGTGCACACTTGGTGTGTGCACCACTGGTCTGCATGCAAGCAGAAAATGCTCTGGGATTCTGGATGTCAAATGCTTTTTATGAAGGTGTGTTATTTCTATTAATTTCATAGTTTAACCAGCGCAAAAAAGCCTGATCCTTTTAAATCTTTACTGACAATGCAGTGTGTTGAAACCAAAACACTTTCAGTGTCAAAGAAAAATGCGATTAATTGCTAGCTGAGATGTAAAACCAGAGCTTTAGGGAAGGGCTATCACCCTGCCACTGACAGGCGTTTAATGGCAGACAAAGGGGTTGCAAAATGAAATGCTGGAATTACTTTGAGGTGCCAGCCAAAATAACCAACAGATCAAACGACTTAACGGGTCGTTTCCACTCCTAATTTCACGATCTCTCTTCTTGTTGTCATGCAACCAGCCCACAGCTTCTGCCGAAATGCTTCTTAACAACGCAGTGCTGTTCAGTACATCCTTCTCACTAGGCAATTGCATTATATCTTAATATAATATTAATTTGGTGTCTTTTGCTATGAGGGAATGTAGAGCGGATGCAAATTACAGACGTAAAATATCTGAAGAGACTTTTGATGACCACTGGGCAATTAGTTTTGTTTTTTTTTTTTTTTTCACTCTTGTAGCTCCATATACCCACTTAGGGAAAAGAGATAAGAATAAAAAAGTGCATAGTGGTCTGACAGCAGACCTTCCTGTCCTCCCCTTGCACTGCTTCTGAAATTTCACCACGTCTTGCATTTTTGCTTTAACTTCCTCTCAGTAGCGGGCAGGACAGCATCCTACCTGGGGAGGGAGAGGAGTGGAAGAACAGACATCTTCTGGGTCTAGTGGAAGGTGTCCCTGCCCACGGGATGTGATGTCTTTTGAGGTCCCTTCCAACTCGAACCATTTCATGACTGTGATTCTATCCAGGTTCCCTGTCTAGATGTTCAGGAAGAGTTTTAAGCTGAGGCAGTGCATGACGTGGACAGCACCTACGGGACACCTGTGGAGGGCTAAACACCTCCGTGGAGGGCAAAACACCTGTGTGGAGGGTAAAACACCTGCGTGAACCTGATAGAAGAGGGCAGGTACTCACAGGGACTAAGCCACGGGAGGGGAACTCCAAGGATACAGGGAGCACAAACAGGGCGCTGCGGGAGCATCCGCGCGATGAGCCAGGGGTTCCCATCCCTGTCCGGGCGCTCCATTCCGCATCCCGCATCCCACATCCCACGTCCCACACCGCATCGCGGGCGGGGAGCGGCCGGGGTGTGTCCCGCGGCACCGCCCCTAGGAGGAGGAGGAGAAGGAGGGAGAGGAGGAGGAGGAGGAGGCAGGGCCATGCTGGCGGCGCGGCGGCACCTGGCGGGCGCGCAGAGCGGGCGGGCGGCGGGACGGGCTCCGCGCCGCGCATAGGGCGCTGAAAGCGGCCGTGGGAGCGTAGCGGAGGCTGCACTGGGCCGGGGAACCTGGACCCTCCCTTAGCATCCTCGCAGCGCAGCGCCGGGCGGAGGCACCACTCTCATCCCTCGGCAAAGGCGGCGGAGAGGAGGAGGAAGAGGAGAAAGATGAGCCGCGCGGTGCTGGCCTGGTTGGCGCTCTGCGGGAGCCTGGCGGCGCCGCGCCCCGCCCGAGGTGAGCGCCCGGGGGCCGCCGGGGATGGAGCGGGCACGGACCGGGGATTGGGGTCACACCGGAGCTCCCGCAAAGTCCGAGTGCAAGTGCGGGGAGGCAGCTCAGAGCCGGCTACCGCCGTCTGTTCTCTCCTTTTTTTTCTCCGTAGATAAGTATGGGGTTTTTTTTAAATATCTGCATTTGAAACACAAGCCGGAGGAAGATCCGTCCTCAGATGCGTTCTGTTTTTGAAACTATGCTTAAATAGAGGGGAAAGAAACGGCGTGAGAGCTTAAATCTTCCCAGCCTCTCGTCTGGATTACGTTTAATATCCGCAGAGCTCTCCACGTCTCTTTTTCCCTTCCTCCCCTCGCCAACCCTCCCCAGTCACCAGTCTTCATTGTAAATTTGGAGGCTGTTGAGCTCCAAGACACATATCCAGCAAACCGCGGAACACTTTGCGAACACGTTCAGGGGCTTCAGCATCTCGGCAGCAGCGAGTAGCTCTTGCCAGGCGATCCTTTTGCTGCCTCCTAATTAGGGCATCTCCACCTAAAACACCAACGGCGCCTTCTGGGTGTCTCACCCCCTTCCAGGGGAAAAAAAAAATAAAAGAATTAGAAAGCCAACCCTAACCCTGAAAGATAACTTTAGAGCTCTTGGGAGTTCTCTTTATTATTTATAATAATTAGTTAGTGCGGGCTATGAGGGTTTTTCCCTCCTCGCATTAAAAAAGTTGTAGGAGCTCATCTTGCGATGGAGGGGGTGTGAGACCGGTCCCCCGCAGCAGAAGGGACCGCCTGGGGCGGTGGGCGATCCCGCACTGCCCATTCCGTCGCATCACAGAATCAGTTAGGTTGGAAAAGACCTCTGAGATCATCCAGTCCAACCTATGACTCCCGCTCGGACACCTGCTAAGGAAGGGGCTGGGCTGGGCTCCGGGACCACCCTGGGTTCCCTCGGAACCATCAAGGGTCCTCTCCTGTCCCCCGCGTCCCTCCGCGGGGCCTTTTCCTCCTCTGCGACCTCCGAGCATCTCTTTGTGCCGCGGATGTTCTGTCCCTCCCTGGGATTCCACCCGGCTTGGAGACCTTTTTATCCTCCCACTTGTACCTTTCCCGAGCTTAGAAGAACAACTGTTGTCCTAATGAATATTCCCATTGACTTTTAGACCTGCTCCCCTCACTTTTTTTTTTAAATGAAACCAGTGTATCAGTAAAGCTGAATATTTTATTAGACCTTAAATTATTCAGCACGGTGGATTCTCAAAATCCGGTAACATTCATACAGTTACAGTGAGCACGTGATAGCTTATGCAATGTGTCCTTGTACCTGCAGATTATTTTTTTTTTAAACAAAAGATAGCTGTGTGTGCCACAAAGTCTAGACTTGTCATAAGTGCTTTGCATCGGGCTTCTGTAGGACTGTAGTTCACATCTGGGACATTTTCTCATTAAATTCTACAGTTTGTCACGGTTTTAGGTAACTTCAGAACAGAGAGAACTTAATAGATTTTCTAACAGGAGTGAAATAGGAAGGAAAAAAATCCATTTGCTCTGTGATTGCTTAAGCTTTTCAGTTGAAGGTTTGTCCTTGGCTCTTCAAATGAAACAGAAGAAAATTATGTCTTTTCTTTCTGCTGAAACAGAGCAAAATGTTGCTTGACAGGTCTGATATACTGGGTTAATTTTGCAGGCTGTCATAACGTTTACTTTTAATAGATCCTTTGAAAGTTACAATGACTCTGTAAGTCAAAACTCTTTAGAAAGCAGGTTTTGAACAATACAAAACTTGCCTATACATTGTTTCAACATCACTTGCTGGCGAGCCCATTAATGTAATAACGGTGTACAATGAAAATCTGTGGAAGTGCAGTGGCTGGTTCTTCCCCACCCTTTGGGGTAAATTCCAAGTGCAGATCAAAGTTAAGTCATAGACTTCATTACTGACCTGCATTTCAAGCCTACTATTAAAGAACAATACCAACTGCTTTTTTTGTTGGGGCTCTGCAAAGTAATGATGGAAGTCAAAATCCTATTTACTCATAATGTCTTAAAAACATCTTTTGCTTTTTGTGTTTGGTACAAATACATAGTATATCAGCAAGTCTGGGGTTTTTTTGTCTTGTTGTTGTTGTTTTTAAGGGAGGGAGAAGGGTGAGAAAATTGAGAGATAATGATGATGTTGAAAAAGTCATCTCAATGGGAGACTGTAATTTTCTTCTTCCTGGCCAGTCTAATAAATTTGCAATCTCATGCACTGTAACAAGAGCCTGATCTTCAGAGGTGTTTATATGCAAATACACGCTGAAACTGGGCTTCAAGGGTGCAGTGACTTCTACCCCTTAGTTTGCAAGACAGCTGGAGGTGCATTTTTAATAAGCAATGTCCTTTTACACATATTTCAAAACAGCTGTAAGCTTTTGCATTTATTGTTGTTGCTGTTGTTCCTTGGTCAAATTTGAACGAGAACCACTCTGGTGTTCTGCTCTGCAGTGGATGAGACAGAAACTACCAGGGTGAGTACACAGACTACAAGAGATTATTTCAGGTGGAAAAAATGTAGCGTATCTCATGTACTGTAATACAGGTTCCTTAATCCCCACCATGTATTATTTTTAGGGACAAATAAGTCAATACCTTTCAGAACAGTCAGTAAATATTGCGATCAAAGGAAAGGAAAACATAATTTAAAACCGATGGCTGTTTCAGTCTCCAGATTTACCTCAGGCCATAGGGTAAGCTGATCAGCTATGGTAATGATGCTGTAAGTGCACAGAAAATCGGCATATCCCATGTCCTGGTGATAAATGGCTTTGCAACAGGACCTTCTGAAAAATTACCATTTGAGTCATCTTTATAGTGAAGCTGATCCCTAAGTTGTATCATCCTTTTCCACTTAGCAGGCTGCTGAATTTTTATGCGTGCTGTGTCTAAAAATGATGTTGACATTGCCAAAACCAGTCAAGCCTAGTTCTTTATTTTATGTCTGTGTCCTGTCAGCCCAAGATAAATACTTTGCAACTTGGAAGGAGCAGTTTCAAAGATTTTGCTTTTTCTCCATTTCAGTGGGAACCTTCACTCTCTCTGAGGCTTAGAAGTTTCTATAAAGCCTCTTTCTGCAGCTGGAATGAGCTGCAAGGAGTAAGAGTGCTGGAAAATGAGAGGTAAACTGTGGCTTTGTTCTCATATAACTATACTAAAAGGCTGAAAAGATCACAGAGACTTTTAAAGACCAAGATCCTTCTGTTTTACCAAGTGTCTTTGCATCTTTGGACAGCAATTGCTTCACCACAAACTGCTGACAGTGTGACCCTGCATAATGATTTTCACTGTTCTTTTAACAAATTACATTTGTATTCAAATTGATTTTCCATGACTGCTTGTATAGCCTCCAGAAGGCATATAGAGGATATACTATTGCATTCTGTACATGTCTGGTCAGCCCAGGACAGATTTTGGTGTCAAGCCATGCATTGTTATAACTGGAATTAATAGTTTTGGTATTATTAGTTGGGGTTTTTTATGTGTCCAGCTACCTGTTTCACTACCCTTTATGTCCTTATCCTTTATGTCTTTTTTCAAGGCGTACACTTCATACGAGATTGTGTATCAATGGCAGCATAGTGAAAAGGGGTACTGTCTTATCTTCCCTCCTCCACATTTTTCCAGTTATCATCAGGTTCAAAATCAAGGAAATGATCCACTTTGAAAATTATTTCAAAAAACAATGACCTTCTATTAAGAGGGTGATTTTTATGCCTTAAATTAACTGTTTATGCAGCACGTGTCCATACAACAGCAGTAAAAAATTCACACCCTGATATCCTTTCAGAGTGAAGATGTCCGGGGAAGTGGAGTTTAAGAAACTACAAGAGTCAGGAGATAAGTCTATGTTATTCTCAAATTTACTGTGAGTCACATAGGAGTTAGTATGTTACTGTTTTAATCCTCTTGTGTTCTTAGATATTTCACACTCAGGTAAGCCACAGAGCCAGGAGTATTTGTGGAATCTTAACAGATGGTTAGTGTTGTATTAGAAGCGAGATTAGATATTAGGAAGCAATTCTTGGCTTGAGGGTGGTAAGGCCTTGGCACAGGTTGCCCAGAGAAGCTGTGGCTGTCCCATCCCTGGAAGTGTCCAAGGCCAGGTGGGATGGGGCTTGGAGCAACCTGGGCTGGTGGAAGGTGTCCCTGCCCATGGCAAGGGTTGGAATGAGTTGATCTTTAAGGTCCCTCACAACGCAACCCATTCTATGATTATGTGATTCTATGATACTGGGCTTGTTTGTAGCACACTTGAAGCCCAGCTTGAGTTTGAATAAATATGAGTTGAACAACAAACGGGTATTAATTTATTTCAACTTTCAAAACATGTTCACAGTGAAAATACAGTGAAACCTTAGTCAGATGATCTGTTAGAAAATAAAAGATGAGTTAAAAAAAGATTCAAACCCAAAGAAGGGTTGTAAGAACATCAACATCTGCAAAATTAAAACCTCTGGAAAATACTGTCTTATACTGTATGACCTACACACAATTTTCACTTAAAGTTAAGGGGAGAACCTAGGGGAAAGGCAACAGGACCCTAAAGTCAGTGTGTTTTGTCAGCCTGAGGAATAAGTGATGATGGGTCTAGGTTATTATCTTTATAGAAGACTTGGATCTTATGTTTAAGGGAGAATTACTTATAGTATGTAGTGACAGCAGGGTTTGGCTGATTTTCTAACAATATGTGTAGATGGTTGAGCAGCTTTTGTCGATTTGCATTGCAGGACCAGAGCATGGGTCCATCCAAAAACAGTAGCGCAGTTGTGGACCAGGGTGCTCTGAGAGCAAGGATTTGAACTGTCACCTGGTATCCCACAAATCTGGAGGCACAGAACCTGCACCATCTCCTCATGCTTTGAGGTTTTATCAAATCCCAGTCTTGCTGCTGTGGGAATATACTGGATATATTTGCAGGGTTTTCCTGTTTGTTTTTTTGTGTGGATTTTCTTCCCTCTAATCAGCAAGCTGTGT